GCTCCTCATAGACTTCATTCACTTCCTTGGCACTGAGCGACACAAGGCGACGGTCTCTTTCATGACGCTCCCAAGCATCCGAAATCATTTTAGCCTGACCAGGTTTCACCGCCTGATGTATCCTCCAAGGATTCGTCTCCAGCTCGAGCATCGGTCTCACTGGTCGCGAGGAGGAATTCCATTGGCCTGGCGCCACTCCAAGTCGTCCTGGTAGTAGTCGCGGTTCATCTGTTGAATCTCGTCCTGGGTCCAGCCGAAGTCCATGGTTGCTTCGGTTTCCATCGGACCGGAAGTCATAGGTCCTGTCAGGTGCGATGCTTGGTGCAGGGTCGAAATGCTCTGGAGCACTTGGTTCAGCATCCCTTGGAACTTGTGGTCCTGCATGGTGAGGACTTCCTGTAGCTCTTGAGCGGTCACTCCAGGAGATGCCTTGGCCTTTGCGCCAATTGTCTCGGGCGCTTGAGAAGGTCTCGCCATTGACGTCTCGGGGACATGTCTTTCCGTTGAACTGGTAGATCCACTTGCCTTCGAGGGAGTTGGCTTTTGAGCAATCTCGGCAACCAAGGGGCGGCAAGCTTTCTTGAGGTCTTCCACAATCATTCCAGTCTGGACGGGGATGTTCAGGAGTGAAGCCAATTTCACCAGGTCTGCCTTCAACGTTGGCAGGCCTCCCTTTGGGCCGATGAGGGAGCGCACCATGTCGTGCTTCTCTCCACGCTTGGTAGCGGCCTCGGCTTCGAGTTGGGCTTCCTGAATGGCATCCCGCTTCAATTGGGCCGTCAGGCCTTTGCTGGCGCGTGCCGCAAGCATTCCTTGCAACATGTTGTCCTCCATGAAGGCGAAGTTGAGGCCAGCACGGTTCCTGAATTGTCCCAAGTCCAGGAGGTTCTTGGTCGTGTACACTGACGGTTCTTGGGTTCGAGCTCGCTGCCAGTGCTTGACCATCAATGCCTTTGGCTTCTGGAGGGTCATAGATTCGGCTTGTTCTTGCCAATGTCTGGTATGGCTGATGCTGGGGTACGGAAAGGGCGCGTACCGCAGCTGCGGACGAGGCAACAGCCACAAGAGCAAGCCATGTGCGCGCCAAGCGGCCTTTGCGCGAAGGCGGAGAAGCATTCGCCGCCAGCGCAGCACCACCTTCGTGTATTCGTTCTCGGTCAGGTCGAAGTGCTGGGCCGCTTCCATTACGATCCACAGATCCTGCGAGGTCTCGAAAGGTCGTCGAAGAGGATGTCGTCGGGGCTGAAGGACGTGTTTGAGCCACCTTCATAGCTTGAGCCCCGGCCGATGTCGCAGCAAGGATCGCATGCTCTGTCACAAGGTGCTCATGCGGTGCTTCGGAGGTTGACTCAAAAGGCACTTCAAAATGACTCATCTTCAATTGCAACTGTTTCTTCCAAAAATCAAAACTGTTCAACTGAAGTTCAACTATGCCGTCTTGTCCAAGTTTCCGCCAGCGTTGGGAGTCCGGACGAGGCCATTGGCGTGGCTGGAGTGGAAGGGCGAAGTGGCCTGCGGCCAGCTGACCCAACTCCAAAAGTTCGCCACCCACCAAGTCAGCTCTCAGTAGCTTGCGGCCGAACGAAAGGACCGCACCGATAGCGCTCAAAAAGTCTCTTCCCAAAAGGAGTCCCAACGATGGCACTGGCACTATTGACACCCACACCAAAACCAAAGTCGAACCCAGGGCCATAGGGAGTCTGTACCTCACGGTGCTTCTTTGGGTACCACCATTTCCAAACCTGAACAACTCATTCTCGGGGGTGGTGATGATGAGGTTCTGGATATAGGAAGGAGCACGTTCGAGGGCTTGGAGGTAGAAGGCCAACCATGAGGAACCTGCGCATGTTCTATTGCAAGCACTATCCAAAGCTCCAACGAATCTCTTGTCTTGTGCGAGACGTGGAGTGCTCTTGGGGTCGGTATGGTGTTGCATGAGGACTTCGAACAATGGGCGATCCCATGAATCGCCGGCGGCCACTGTCATGACCTCGTGGCCCATGTCATCAGGTTCTTCAGGAGCCACATGTTCAGTGTTCAGGGTCTCGGTGACACGGACCTGCTTCGTCATCTGGCTCTTAGGCTTTCCTTTGGGTCGAGCCAGGCCAGCACCAGGGGCCTTGCAGCCTGCATCACCCGCCCAGTGTCCCATCTCACCACAGTCGAAGCACTTTGTAGTGCTCTTTTGGCGAGGGACTTGATTGCCATGGGGCTTCGTCGAACGAGGAGCCGGTTGGCCAGGCTTTCCATATCCACGGTCTTTCTTGACCTCAGCTATTTTGGTGCGTGCTTCACGCATTGTCAACAGACTCTCTGCGGCCTGTTCCATGCCGCTCTCCAAATCTTCAAGCACTCGAGGGTCGCAACCTTCAGTCTCGAGCTCCTGCAGCTCTTGGGCAAGAAGCTCAGCTTCGGTCTGGAGGACTTCTTCGATCGTCAGGTTCTCAGGAGAGTAACCTTGACCATCATCGTCTGGAATCAGCTCTTCATCTTCCGCCTCCATCTGGCCTTCCTCTTCAGGGGCCTCGGCAATCAAGGCTTGTCGAGGTTGAGGCTGCTGGCCAAAACGCTTGAAAGGTGGCCGGCTGGAACCAGAGCTCTGAGTCCGGAAGGAGCGAGAAGAGGGAGCCGTCGAGCTGGCTGTAGTCGAAGGCCTGTAGGACGAAGAAGAGCTGTGTCTGTCATGGGACTGTAGGAAACGCTGGAGTAGTGGTGCCTTGTCAAAAGGTCTGCTCTTGTTCAAAGGGTCGGAGGAGTGCAAATCTCGAAACAGACGAAGGCATTCTGGTTCGACCACATCATAGTTCTCCCGACCTGCCAATGCTGTCTCCAACAACTGCTTCCTGATTGCATCCAGTCCCAAACGTTCTTTCAACATCCAGCCTAACTCCTCCTCCGGCATCACTATGCCTTCCCGCTTGAGCTCAGCTGCAAGGGTCCGGAATCTCGTGCAAAATGCTGAGATTCTCTCTCCAGGGCTGAGTTTGATTTCTTGATAGTAAAGGGATCGGGGTTCTCCCTTTCTATCCAAAGCTGTCTTCCCAACCGTGGCCTCCAAGGCAGTCATGAGTTTCTTGATGCCTGCAAAAGGGTCTGCGGCAACCCGAATCACTTTGTCGCCGGTGTCAGGATCGGTCATGGCTTCTTCCTGGGTCCCTTCAAGATCCTGGGGATCGAATTCTTCACAACGAGCCCTGACCACACCATATTGTCTAAGTGCCCATCGGGCGGCAACGTTGAACTTCTTGCAGGATTCTTCATCCAGCGAAGCCATCCACCAGTTCATCTCCCGGCGGAACTGTCGCCATTCCGCCGGGTTGCCCGACCACGTCGGCACCCGGTACCAAGAGCTGGTGCCGGATTCTTCTGCTGAAGTCATCTTCACGGCCAAATTGGCCAAAAACAAAAGTGAGGCTGCTGCAAGGTGTTCAAGGAGCTCCGCAAGTTCTGAAGCTCTCCAAAGAAAAGGTGGTCTTAGACCGAAAGTGAAGTTGCGCAACGATGGTAGGGCCCAAAGCAAAAGGAGGGTCTATGTACCCCCAAAGGTCACTCCAACAAGGCACTGCTCGGCGGCAAGGGCACTGTGAAGTGGTTCAAGAAAAAGGTGTCCACAAACAAGAGAATCTAGTTATTCTCAAAAGGTTGGCACCGACCACGAAGTCCAGAGCGTCTGGCTCGAGGTCGTGTGGAGCAGCCCAGAAGCTTAGCTTGAAGGCCACGAAGACGAGGAGAAACGAGGCAAAGCGAGGCGAAGCAAAGCAAGCAACGGCGGAGTGCAATGCCCAGATCGAGATAGGCTCCGCTACCACTGTAGACGCACTAGCAAGAGCGTCTGCCAGCGCGCCGTTTTCACCTAAGGCGCAGCACGAAATGGCTTCAGGCCTTGATCCAAGCGAACATGAACAACCATGTTCCTCCGCATGCCCAACACCGAAGAGCAAACTCAACTTTCACAAAAATATATGCCATGGGAGCTCGAGCTCGTTGCATGTTCCTTTTTGGAGTACCGAATGGTGAAGAAGAACTCCGAGCTCCAGGGACCGGAAGCGAAACGACACCAAGCAACGAACGGGACAATGACGCGAAAAATGCGTTCAACGGGAATGACGCGAAAAAAATGCGTTCGAGATCGAAAAAACATGTTCGCAAAAAGGGCCGACCCACAGGGATGATTGCAAAATGAGGACTGCCTCTACCGAGTGGGTCTTACCTGGATATACTGGATCCTCCAATGTGGTTCGTTCTGGTGACAAGCGATTTTCCCACCAGGGCATGTTGATACTTGAATAACAGGAGAACCTGAGTGGGCAAATAGTTGAGAGGAGGCCCTCTGCGGGTGTGAATTGAGAGACGCGAGAAAATTCAGGATCCTGCCAAGTCATCACACTGCCGTAATTACCCTATACAGTAGAATGGCAGGGTAGCAATGATTGCAGAAAAGCGTGGCAAAGGCGTAGCAGTAGTAGAGGCAAAGAGTGGCAAAGGCATGGCAATAGTAGACTGGCAGCGTGACGATGACAGTGGAAGAGCATGAAATTGTGTGGCATGCGTCTGGCAAATCTGGAATCAAAGCGTGGCAGGAAGTATGGGTGAAGCAAGTGGTTTCGTACATCTTCTGTACAGCAAGGAGAGCAGGAAAGCAACCCTTGCAGGGTAGAAACCAAACCCTTATTATACAGGGAAAAACGGTGGAAACGACAAAAGAAACCCCGGAAGAAACCCTGGCAACCCTCAGCCGCTTGGAGAGGAAACCCCTGCAGGGGAGGAAAGAAACCCTTGCAAAGCAGAAGCGAAACCCTCTCAGGGTGGTGATAGAGCGACTCCCAAAACTATCATAGCGATGCCTCCACCCTAGTAGCAGTGGCCTCCAACCTATGAGCGATGGCCTCCACCCTAGTAGTGATATGTAGCAATGCGCTCCAACCTACAAGCGAATGAAGCGAATGGCCTCCTACCCATCCGGTACCCAAGCACCGCTGTCTCGTCAGATCACCGGGCGCCTGGATCACCCGGCGAATCTCCTCGTCCCGGCCGATCACCGGGTCCAGCTTCCCATTTTCCGCGTCGGCCACCAGGTCGCGGCCGTACTTCAGGAGCGCCTGATGGGATTACATATGATGTGTATAAACATGTATGCATATAAGGTGGGTGAGGGACCAGAAGGTCATAAACAGTGATGCCAAACCATGGGGCTCTTAGGAGTAAAGGACTGTAGATTGAGCGGTTTTTGAGTAATATATACACCCTCTATTTCAGAGGCTTGTGGGTTGAGCATCTTGAGCTACAAGAAGGTGGTAAATCCACAGTTTTGGTTCACCAGTCAACCAACTAAGATCAAAGTAACCTATATGGTTTCTATGGGTTTCAGTACTTTCTGCTTCAAGCTGCGGTGACTGGCGTTTGATTCGAGGGTTGGCCACATTTGAGCTTCTTGGGAATATGGTCTTGATGTAGACCAGAAGTGGTGAAAGCAAACAGCACGCCCGATGCCTAAGTCCTCACTCACCAAAACCCACCCAAGATCTGTAAGCTCAGTCAGCTCCAAAGCTGATCATAAAAACGCTCCACAAGTGAACGCTCTTCCCACGAAACCTGTTTACAAATCTATAAGCCGCTTCCAAATGTGACTGTCTTACGACCCTGAAGACACAAGCTCAAAACCAAGGCCCTGCAGGCCCTGCACCACCAAATCGTTGAGGGTTTGCTGGTTCATGTCCAACCTGTGTCTGATCCCAACCTGGTCCACCGGATGCAGGTCCCCCAGACGCGGCCCGGCTTCTATCCTCCAAGCCCCAAGCCCCAAGCCCGCTGCCTCGAAGTTCTCGTCTCCTGGGCCCAAGCGACAGCCCGGTAGTGACAGGGATCCCGGTTGTTCCTAGTAGTTTCTTGTTACTAGTAGCGATGCACTTGTTGCTAATAGCTTCTTGTTACTAGTCATGAACCCGACTTCCTAGAGTTAGAGTACATAACAGGAAAACGAGGCTGCTGCTATGTGAACCCTTTCGGAAAGGTTCCATGTATGCTCTGGAATTGCTGCTATTTATGTATCTGTCATATTCTGTAATCACCCTTCCAACCAGCACTTTCTAATGACTGACATGCACACTGACATGCACGGAGCCACAACAATTCAGCGGTTACAAGTTGTTATAAGTGAAAATCGTCCCTTGGATGATCCCACATTCAACCGAAAGGAATCCTTACCTTCGCGATAACCAAACCAGTGGTAGCCGCGGACCTTAAAGGGGAACATGATGGAGGGCCATTCTTCGAACTGTGGCTGGGTGTGCAAACACTTCAAACCACGTCCAAAGGTTTCCAAGAAACAGGGACAGGGGTACACGGCTCATTTTGGAACCTAGAAACGGCTCATTTTGGAACCTGGCTCATTTTGGAACCCAGACGAAAAGAAAACTCTCCGGGACTGCAGCGTGAGACCAATTTCGCGGCTCATTTTGGAACACGCATCATTCGGTAGTGCTTCGAAGGTAGCATTTGCTAGTGAAAATGAGTGTTTCGTACGAGACTTCCTCCAAAAGTGAGCCGCGGAAGTCTCCAGAACGAGCGTTTTGTGCGAGACTTCCTCCAAAAGTGAGCTGCGGAAGTCTCCAGAACGAGCGTTTTGTACGAGACTTCCTTCAAAAGTGAGCCGCGCAAGTCTAGAGAGAGAGAGAGACAGAGAGAGAGAGAGAGACAGAGAGAGCGCGTTTCGCACGAGACTTCTTTCCAAGGGGAGCCGCGGAAGTCTCCAGAACGAGCGTTTTGTACCACGCATTATCATATGACACGCACGATCCTCGCAGAGGGTCGCTCCAGGTCAAACGCGTCAAACGCGATCGACGTTTCACTACACGTTTGAACACTTGGCACGCGCGATCCTCGTAGAGGATCTGTTTTTGTTTTGCTTAGGGTTTCGCTCCTTTAGGTTTTCTTTTGCTTCTTTAGGATGTTTTTGTGCTGGAATTAGGCCTTCACGTGAGGGCTCCTTTAGGATGTCTTGGGTTTCACTTAGGGCTTCACTTCTTTAGGGTCTCTGGTTGGTTGGGCTTAGGGCTTTGCTGCTTTAGGATGTCTTTCGTTTTCACTTAGGGCTTCACTTCTTTAGGATGTCTTTGGCACAGGGATTCACTTCTTTAGGGCCTGGTTTGGTTTTGCTTTGGGCTTCCCTCCATTAGGATGTCTTGGGTTTCACTTAGGGCTTCGCTTCTTTAGGGTTTCTGGCTGGTTTGCCACAGGACTTTGCTGTTTTAGGATGTCTTTCGTTGTGACTTAGAGCTTTACTTCTTGAGGGTCTCTTTTGGCCTGCCTTATCGCTTCACTTCTTTAGGATGTCTTTGGCACAAATTCAACAGCATCTCTTGCTCAACATTTTGTGTTTTGTGCACATGGTCGTGGTAATTACGTGATTTGGCGAAGCTGGGTTTGGTTTTGCTCAGGGCTTTGCTCTTTTAGGGTTTCGTTTGGTTTGCCTTAGGGGCTTGCTTCTTTAAGATGTTTTTGGGTTTGCATTAGGGCTTCAGTGGAGAGGGGCTAGGGCTTCACTTCTTTAGTCTTTTTTCTTTTGCTTCAGGCTTCACTCCTTTAGGGTTTCATGTGGTTGGGCTTCCGGCTTTGCGTCTCTAGGATGTCTTTGGGTCGGATAAGCCTTTACTTCTTTGGGGTCTGTTTTGGTTTTGCTTCGGGCCTCGCTCCTTTAGGGTTTCTTTGGTCTTAGCTTAGGGCTTCACTTCTTGAGGATGTCTTTGGATTTGACTCAGGGCTTCACTTCTTCAGGATCCGTTTTTTTTGCTTAGGGTTTCGATCCTTTAGGTTTTCTTTTGCTTCTTTAGGATGTCTTTGGGTTGGACTTAGGCCTTCACGTGAGGGCTCCTTTGGGATGTCTTGGGTTTCACTTAGGGCTTCACTTCTTTAGGGTCTCTGGTTGGTTGGGCTTAGCTCTTTAGGATGTCTTTCGGTTTCACTGAGGGCTTCAGTTCTTTAGGATGTCTGTGGGTTTGACTCAAGGCTTCACTTCTTTAGGGTTTGGTTTGGTTTTGCTTAGGGTTTCGCTCCTGTAGGGCCACGGTTTCTTTTGGCTTGGCTTAGGGCCTTGCTTCTTTACGATGCCTGTGGGTTAGACTTAGGCCTTCACCACCACCCCCTCAAAAAAAAGAACGCTTCTCAGAAACCAGTCCCCAGAAACCACTTCCCAGAAACCAGTCACCAGAAACCAGTATCCAGAAACCACTTCCCAGAAACCACTTCCCACAAACCACTTCCCAAAAACCACTGCCCAGAAACCACTTCCCAGAAACCACACCACTTCCCAGAAACCACTTCC